TCATTCTACTCTCTGTCCCCATGAAGTCAATGTTTTTAACATTTAGTTCCTGCATATGAGTGAGAACATGCAAGATCTGTCTTTCTGTGCCTGGCTTATTTCACTTAACATAATGTCCCCCAGTTCCATCCATGTTGTTGCAAATGGCAGAATTTCATTCCTTTTATGGCTATATAATATTCCATTGTACATGTGTACCACAACTTCTTTATCCATTGAGAAATTTTTATTTTACACAACATAATTGTATTTTCTATAATCCATGACAAAATGTATAGTAGTAGAACCAACCCCTCCCCACCTAGTGAAAATTTGTATTCTTTTTAGAATAAAAACATTTTTATTATCTTGATTTATAGATTTAGAAACTAAAATTATTATTATTTTTTTCTGTAGATATGATGTCTTGCTATGTTGCCCAGGCTGGTCTTGAACTCCTGGCCTCAAGCAATCCTCTCACCTCCATCTTCCAAAGTGCTGGGATTATGGGTGTGAACTACCATACCATCTCTGAAAAATTTTTATTGATATATTGAAATCCATGAGATGGGCTGAACTCAGAAATATATTTAATGAAATAAAATAGATGAAACTATAAAGTGCTGAGCAAACACCAAAAACTGTAAACAGTTCAAATCTTCTTCCCAGCTCAGTGATCCTCTATTGCAACGGATCAAGTAAAGCAGAGCGTTCTGTGCCTACAGTTAGTGAAACATTTTTCCCTGTCCTGAAACTTAAGTAGGAGAGAGAGCATTTGGATTTCTTGCCTATATTATCTAGCTGTTTCAGCAATCATCTGAGAATCCAATTTGGAATTCCATCTCTAATAATGTTCTATGAAGTCATTCTGAATGACAAAATTCAAAATACTTAAGTTGAAATTATTAAAGTCAAAATTTTGCTCTGTGAGTCAAAGATTTAGTTATACATATAGTTTTCATTTCAAATGATTAGAGTAAGAATGATATTATAATAATGGCAGCTTTCAAAAAACTTGCTGATTACATAAACTTATTTTAATACCCCTTGTTCATGGGTCTTATACAGCCTAAATAAAGGTGGCCTATGATGTAGTATTAATTATCCTGGAAATAATCAATTTCTTAATACATATTAAAACATTAAAAATGTGTAATTGGGAGGAGTAAGTTAGCATAAACATTTTTATTGTTGATTGCTACTTGAATCCTTGTGCTTGGAGTATTAAACAAAATGTTCTGTTACTGGGGGAAATTAAACCGAGAATAAAGATAAAAGGCTTTAATATAAGCAGTATCCAATTTAAACACAGGTTATTTAAGTTTGTTTACTGGAACTTGGAGACCATTTTCTAATAAAAATTGCTCTGAATATTAAGTAAGAGAATAAAGCTAGTTCACACATACACACACTCTCTCTCTCTCTCTCCACACACACACACACACACACACACACACACACATACACCATACACAATTTTTTTTCCCTTAATAGAACAGAAAAATATGGCATATACAATGACAAAAAGATGGAAAACAAAAGGTATCTGTGCATCTCGAATCCTGGTGCTGAGGAATACTGATTTATTTAGAAGAGGCAGTCAGTTTTGTGAAGAATGATGGGAGAAATTTTCAATCCCTTGGCCAACTTAAAATATATCTTGCAGTTTTTCTTTTTCTTGATTCAGTGTATTAGTAATATTAATATTGTGTTTTATCAGCCATGTCATTTTTGGTTTTCAAGTGACGTTGGAAAGGTTAGGAGATTGATAATGAGACCGATGGTTAAGAGGAAAAGACTTTCCTTAGGCAAAGAGGAAGCACAGAGAGAGGAAGACCAAAAGGGATTTCCAGGAGGGTGTATCTCTAGGTAAAAGAAAGATTTACTGTGTAGAAATTAACTAAGTTATGGGCAATGCATAAACCAACAGAAACCAACATATAAACAAACTGAAGGAAGCCATGCCTATGCATAGATTTCTTAGAGAGATGAAAGTCCGTGGTCATCTATTCTCATAACCACCCACCAGGTGGGGCCAAAGCTCCAGAAGAGTTGGTAGTTGTCAGGACTCAGAGAAGAGCATTTAGGGTGAAAAAGCATGGAAGAGAAGGGTGAAAGTTGGCAATCAGCATGAAGTAATTATTACCTAGAAAAGTCTAAGATTTTTTGCTTATGAGAAAGTATGAGGTTGATGAACCAGTATTTGTGGTTATTTTTTCACATCTAACTTGTTATTTTTGTTTGTATTTTAAAACAGTATCCTGAAAATGGAAATTGCTATAAATCCTATTATGAAAGAATAAACATTATAAAAAATACACAATACTTTCCATTGTCATTAAGATCTCAAGGTCTTAAAGCAGATAAAAAATGTGATGGCATCTTTGCCTTTCATATTTGAAATGGTTTTTGCATTGACTGCCCATGTCTGAGAAAAATGGCAAATCACCATGCATTCTTTTTGCAAAAATTTCATGTATATCTAGTTGTGATTAAAAATAAACTTTTAAAACAAGCTGTTCGAAGTATAACGATGTATTTTTAAACCACATTTTAAAACATTTTGGGGTGCACTTGAATAGCACTGATTATATAAAAAGGATTTTTCACTTTACCAATAAAAAATAATTATGTGCTTTTTCAAATTTGAAAGTAGTATAGGAAGCTAATGCCATCTCTTTTTTAGATTATTGTGCAATGTTGCCATTTTTGACATTAAGCACTATGAATAATCTAAAAATAGTTTTCTTTAGAAGTGATCTCCTCAAATATGTGTTAACATTACCATATAAATGATGAGTAGTTAAATTTGTTATTAGTAAATGGAAATCCTACCATTGCACACACATAACACTTCTCTTGCAATCTTATCTATTTTAAATGTATTCTTTAACATAATTATATAAAGACAAATTTAATCTTAATGTGTCAGAAAGTATTATCATCTTGCAAGCAATACTCCAAGGTTAATAATGTCTGGGAATATAAAGTGTTTTTGACTGTAAGATTAGTCTTCTTATTTGAAAAAGGCTTTAAATTTCGTTTCAAAGGAGATTTCACGCCCCATGAAATTTAAACTATGACATTAAGAAAACATTCACTTTATTATAATGCACTGAAAAATTATAGTGCAAATGCTTCTTGTTCCTATCCATCAAAACTGTTGTTAGAAATGTAAAGGGAGCTTTCTTAGGTAAAAATTATGTTATATGTTGCGAAAAAAAAATGAATGCCTCCAACTGTTCATCCTGAAGTCAGGTAATTACTGCTTCAATTATGTTATAGAATGCTTTGAAATTAGGTCCT